CTTATCATTGAAAGGTATGAAATTATGACAAAACTTTTCTGCAGAAAATTCTTTCGGCAAAAATCATTCTATGATTAAAAACAGGAAGTGGTATTCTTGGGGTTCGAACCCAAGCAATAAAAATCCTTAGTGTTAATCTTTCCTTTGAGACAGGCTAACCACTGTACCACTTATACCAAACAGGGCATTTAAATCATGTTTGTGATATGACCCTTGACTAAATGGATTTCAAATAATTCTAGGAAAGATACGAAAGTTATGCAAAAAAGTGTATTTTTAAGGTATACATGTTGTGGGCCTATGCTCCACGTTAATGTTAAATGAAATATCAAGGACAATTTTTCATAATTGAGATTTAATTTTCACTTTTGGTTTTTCGCACAATAGGCATTCTGCTCGCCTTGTTCGCCTATCTTCTTCTACATATTAGTATACTTTACTTGTGTATCAAGTCATACAGTAAAACTGTAGGAGAAGTTGCGTTTTGAAAAATTATTAAAAGACGGACAGACAGATGGACGGTCGACGAACACTTTAATAATGCCTTAATTTTTCCGGTCTTTGACCAGTAGAGCTATTAACGCGACTAAAATCCTTATATATTATGGTCTTTTAATATTGTTCAAAGACAGTGGGAGGCCATTATGATGTGCGGATTGTGCTGGATGTAGGATGTACTTTGTAAATATTGTGTTTCATGCTTAAAGACTATTGTCCTATTATGTTTGATGATAGTGATCAGAATATAGATAGCACTGGCATATATAGTCAAGTTTCAGAGTTGTTGCTTGTTACCTGATCATGCGCATCTGGTGCATCAAAATTAGTACCGTATATGATTTACATCCTTTTCTTTTGATTTTGTGTTTCAATTTATTTTGTTTTATTACATAATAATTTACAGTTCCATGGATCCTTTACAGGCTTGTATTTTACTCAGGTGATCGTTAAAGCCCTTGGACCTCTTGTTTTTAAGTAGGGCATATAGTGTCTATCATAAACATCACAATTGTTAGCCGAAAAATGATATTATGCCTTATTCGGTTTTTTGTCATAAACAGTAGTCAAAATCAATTATTTCATTAATACGAAAGTTCCATCATTTCAATAGCTCAATCAGAAATAACAGAGATAAAGTTTGTTAAAAAACGCATTGCGCATCGAAAACTTTCGGGATAAACAATCCTTACTATAATGCAGTTGTAGCAGAAAACACGCATGTACTGGGAGAGAGGAAAAGGTGAGAAATGTTCTAATTGACCGTATCTTGTTACGAACTTCACTACTAATAGAAATTCCGGACAATCACATTCACCAAGTGTTATGTTATTGATGAAAGGTCTTTCACTTTTACATAAGAAAACTTTCTACTTTGAGATTGACAGAATGCATCTCTGTTGGGATTGACAAGAAAACGGCAGGTAACTAATAACAGTTTACGACCAGTACAAAAATTCCAGACAATGTTGTCGAGGTTGTTGCAATGTTCCCTGCTCGGCTTTATCCTCCAAATGACCCGTCAAAAGCGCTTATAGGCTTCTGTTGAAGAAGTGAGGGTACGCCACGTGCTGAATTAGTTTTTCAAATTGGGCAATAAAGAAGGCATGTGTGTCTACGTTATCTATAGTTTTGTCATAAAAACTCTTATCTTTTATAGATTACACGGATAATCCTAATGGTATCGCAATGAGCGTCTGATTTAATTATGACCTTTTCCGACAGTTCATGGCAAACAGGTGACCTTAAAATTTTGTTTGCTTAGTTTCAAGCTAAAAAAACATTCTTGTACCCATTTTTTAAAAATATTTCTAACATTAATATGCAAATGAAGTTTTTTCAACTAAATTTTAAAAAATCGTTTGAAACACCGTTTGCAAGACATCTTTCACTTGTTGATTATGCTTCCACAAGAGTTTGGGGACATTCCAAGTGATTGCTTCTCAAGACATCTCCTTTAAGTGTTTTCGTGAACATAACTGAATCTTCCGTTACATATTTGCCGTTCATGGCCAAAGGTAATTTGTTTGTCAGCAAACACATTAAACAATCATCATTGTAATAGACAAGAAACAGTTATTCTGCGTTCAGAAAAGAATCCAAAATACCTTTGGAATGAAGATGGCTATTCCAGAACCTTTGATTTTCAATACCTTTAAGAGTTGTTACCAATATAAATGCAAGAATAGTAGCAAGATATTTGATGAAATTGTTGTTTATTTTAATCTTTTCTTAATGGACTTCGTGTTGAGATTTTTTCTTTTGTATGCCCCCAGATAAAAAGGTTCAGAAAAAATACTTTTGTCTGATTTTTTGCCTGCCTGTAATAAAACATGATAATTCACGTACTTGGTCAAGAGGGATGGTCAATTTGGGAAAAAAATGAGGTCGGGATCAAGAATAGAGGTCATATGACTTTAACAAAATCACTGTGTTACCCATTTATCATTGATACAAGTACTTTCTTCGTTGGTTTTTTTTTTTTTGTCTTTTCATTAGTATACTGTGGAATCATTTAAATTCGTGGGGGTCAATGTTCGTGGGCAAGCAAAATTTTATTGGTTCGTGGGGATGTAATTTCGTGGGCAGCTCGTTTATTTGGTTGATCTAATTAATCAGTACATTGACAAAATAGTTGTTCGTGGGGATGTAAATTCGTGGGTAAGGGTTACCCAAGAAATCCACGAACATTGATCCCTCACGAACAATGATGATTCCACAGTATTTAATGCACATATTTTCAATGATGACAAAAACACAGAGGAAACGCCTTACGGCTCTTTGTATGTTGCCAATTTTATTAATAGAAAACAATTAAATGCAATGAATTGTGTTCTTTTCTCATTACGTTTCACTGCTTATTTTGAGTAAATTAATTTTTAGATAATCATAAGAGTGCAATATTTATTTTTCCTTGACAAGGTCATATAGAACATTAGGTAGCCTATTACCTTTCAATTGTGCACAGCTAAATTCATTTTATTTCTAGACACATTATAAAATAAACGAAATTTTCGTCGTCTTGTTACTCAGCCCTAGAGTATTAAGAGATTATTTTATCTTCATTTTTAAACTATTTTGTGAAGATAAAATCTTTTGGAGCAAGGAATTTATGATGTTTACCAACATGTGCAATAAAAGTATCTTAATGTTTCCCATGTGCAAGGTTTCTTATACGTCTTACGTTATAACCAGTTATCAAATAATTTATAGTTAAAACTAATTACAGAGCTGCATGTTTGCAATTGAAACATCCTGAAGGAAACACAGAATCAAATGGGAGTATTCTAAAGAGGGGTGACAGATCTATCACCAATCCTGCACGGTCAAATCGTTAGATCTGAATCGTTCAGGATAAGTAGGTAAAGCCCCACTTTTTCTCACTTCTTTAATCATCAAAATAATCACAGTTTCCCTTTATCATTAGCAACCAAAAAAGAATGAGACCCAGCTGTTCTTAATTCGTGCTTGGATGGGGATGCATTCGCGGTTAAAGTCTCCTATGTTATGTAATACTTTGCAGGAAAATATCTTTTATCAAATCGAGCCTACTTTTTCCATACCATGTTCACATTTTGGATTTTTTTTTTTTAAAAATATGTTTCTTGCGGTTAATCTTATCTTGAGCGATAATTTGCGATGACGCGACATACCGGAATGAAATGACCGTTGCGACTCTGAATGATAACCATGCCGGTCCCTATAATTGGTATGCCAGACTAAATCAGTTTGGGTTACCAAAATCAATTAGAATTTCTGTATTTCTGAAAATCTACAATGAATGATGTACAGAAGTTTAGAAAATATCTTTTCAGAAATGTAGAAGGGCGTTTTATTTTTTTTTTTAAATTTATGTATTTATTTTTAGAAAAGCTAAAGATCTTATCGTTTAGGTCAACATTATTGCTGAATTGGACATAATTGCATGAATTTACTACCAAGTATATTAACATTTTCCTTTTAATTAGGAAATTCATAACTGATAATCTAATACTAACATATAACTGCACTAAAAACTACGTTTTCAGTTGGAAATTTTCACTCGTGTTGGGACGCTAAGTGGCCGTGTTGGAAAGCTGGTGGAAAGCTGCGACTTAAGACTATTAGCTGGTATTTATGACCAATGCGAAATGGAGAATCTTTTTCATGCCAGCATTTACTGCGACACGGGTTCTCTGTTCATATGGTCAGCCAAGGGATCGGTCTTGACGTCCTAAAGTGGGATTCGAACCAGCGACATAAAGATCAAAACTGCAGAACGAAATGCTCTAACCACACTTGATGTAATGATGTATCAAATTTTTGATCGCTCCGAAAAGTTTTGCAAACTTTAAATTCACTAGGACATCTTTAAAAAATTGTTTGGTTGCCCTCTCCCGACCGAGTGCGGACCGACTGGCTAAACAAATCTTTTTTCAGCCTCCAGAAGCAATTATTTTTTATGCATTTCGGAATATTGATTTTGATAAATCAACATTGATTTTGATATTTTGTTGAAAAAATTTTCTCACCTACCTACCGACCCAATTTTTTTCATCCTGGGTCGGGAGAAGGCAAACACACATTATTTTAAATATAAATAAAAATAGATTATTTAATACTATTTGTCTAATCATTATAAATATATGTATACAAAGTAAACATCTGTTTATATTATTAAGGAGAACCAATGTCACGTATAGAATTTATGACGAAACTCGGCTAAAATGTCACATTCTATTAAAGTAACCATACGCTTTGTAAAACAGGAATATTCTATGCTTGAGGCATATCAAGGATGTATGAAAACATGTTGCAGGCTTAGACAAGGACAAAGCAATTCACTGTCAGTTTCAGTTCACCTACATTCCTAGACAAATCTTACACAAAGAGATACTAAATGCCATTGTAAATCAACTTTATTCAAGAGAAACTCGGATCATAACATCCCAACATCAACGTACAACTAAGTTTAACTGTCAAACATATTCAATTATCTTAACAATGAATAATAAATAACTTACCAAGATCAAAGACAATCAACTTCGGTTTACGGACATTGTTGTTTTCTTGGTCCATATCGAAAATCTTATTCTGTGATAAAAGTCTATAAAGTCATGTAATTTTACTGCATATGTTCCAACACTATCTGCAAAAACTGACCATAATACGGCAGAGTTAAATTATTGATAATGCTCGAAATTTCTATTCCCCTTCATATTAAACACTTAGGTCCCTTGATGACGAGAATACGAATTTTCTGCATGGCAATATCTGTTTCCACCACTGCAGTGACTGGGAGTTTGAGATGGCGCGAAAATGAATATATCATTGAGGAATTGATTGAACACGTGATCAGTATAAGCGTTATGTCCAAAACAAACTCCTCGCCAGATTTGTGAATGAAAGCAAGGAACATAATTATAAACAGCAAGAAATATAATTATGAACTCAGTTTTAGAACCATAGCTTGGACTGTGATCTTTCAGAAACATTTACTTGCATTTTTGGAGTGCAGGCATGAGAAAACTACAATGTACGTCTTTTAAAAGAATGACGATTCATTTTGTGAATTTTTCACCACTAATAATTTTCAAGTTCGATGAATTATACTTGGATGTTTTTAGCAAAAAATTAGTCTGCAAAAGCGAATCTTTTTTTTTTTGGCCACTTAGTACAGGCAAAAGCCGACAACGACCTCTTTATTTATGTGCTTAAATTAATTGTGCTTATCAAGGTCATTAACTGGTCTTGCAATCTCTGCCCATGTTGAACTTACAGTAAACAAGTCTGTTGATAAGAATTTATATATCTTGCTGATTGTAAAATTGCTTTTAGTCTCTTCAATCGACTTCTGGTTCGAATATTTTTTTTACGTCTTTCACCAGCTTTAAAGATTAAAGGTTTGCTATGGTTCCTTTGCATTTTTGCATTATAAAAGAAAGATTTGAAATACTACATACATGTACTTGAGGTGTTCAACGGATTTCTCTCTACGCTAAAGAGTGAGTGGTTCGCCGTGAATGAATAAATAAGTAACACACAGACTTCTATTTGAAACACATCAATGTTAAAACAAGGTATTTATTTTGAGATTAAAATCTTCCCTTGTTTTTAGTATGATACTAATTAAAATTTAAAATATAAGGGAAAATAAATGTCTATTGTATGTTAGAATTGTAATTGTTTTAATTATAGACTCATTTTGATTATAGAAGTCTTCTAACGTTCAAAACATTTACTGGGAATGAGAAAAGGCATGAAAATCACAGAATTTTTTTCCGAGTACAAAATGGTGAAATGTACAAAATCGCATTTTTTTGTGGAAGTGTTGCAAATCTATTACAAAAAGTTTACTGCAAATAAAGTTTAGTCTATATTCTTATGATTTGCACAGAGTCATAAAAATAATTACCTTAATAACTGAAACAATTCCAGGTTGACCCCTCCCTTTCTTAAAAATATGGAAAACATAAAAGTTAATAGACTGGGAAAAAAATCAAATCTTTTAGAGTATAAAAACTTAATATACAACATTGATAAATGCCAATAACCTTGACCTGACATTGAGATATCAGCAAATGATATATTTGTTGTTATATGTGTTGTTATATATTTGTTGATTGATAGTTGTTTTACGTCCCTTGCGAGAAGTAAGTGCCATATACCGGTGAAGGGCTTCAAATTTAAACCTTTACTAAGCACTCGGAGCCATTGAACAGTGAGGGTTCTATATCGTGCCAACCCCTACCATGACACGGGACGTCGTTTCTAAAGGTTTCATCCGAAAGATCCGCAACTTTCACTTCTAGTGCCGAGCGCTTGGAGAAGGATCAGTCACTATCTATCTTTCCGTTTAATGTTTTGACGCAGCTCTAGCAACGAGTCGAACCTCTGTTAAGGTAGCAAGGACCCTACCACTAGGCTACTGCGACCGGTGTTTGTAAGTTGTATGAAAAGAACATCAAACATCTGGGAAAACAATTGTTAATTGTGTATCAAATATACAGGGAACAAAAAAAAGTTGTTGGTTAAACATGACAAATCCACAGCTTTTGATGTTTCTAAACAATCTTTGGTCGGTCTTTTAATTGGAGAAAGTGGTTTTCTCTGCATAAACTTCAATTCATTACCCCAGCTTTATTTTCTTATATTTTAATTTTTTGTGCGACATCGACTGGAGTTCCATCGTTGTAAAGAAATTAAGACTTTATGCAGACTTTCAACCAAGTCAAACCGGTCACGGTTGCCTAATGGTAGGGCGCTCGCTTCGTGATCGGCCCGGGTTCTATTCTCGTTCGCAACCTAAGACGTAAACATAAGAAGTGGCTGTTCTTTCGCAAGCGCCCGGCACTAAAGTGAAAGTCACAGGTCTTTCGGATGAGACCTCAAAAACCGAGATCTCGTGTCAAGGTAGGCGTTGGCACGATAAAGAACCCTCACTAATCTATGGCCCTGAGTGCCGAGTATAGAGCCCTTCACCGGCTTACGGTGACATCTCTATATGAGTAAAAATTCTCGAATGGGACGTTAAACAACATACAATCAATCAATCAAATGAATTAATCATTGCTTCAAAATGCGTAACATCGTAAATATTGTCACGTAGTCTCTTGTGGTTCGGGTGCCTTAACTTTCAGTTGCTGTTCAGAATTCATCTATTATAATAGCCTTTGTTATCTGAAACTGCGGAGAGCTCCCTACAGGTGTACATGTAGTAATAGTCAGACACTAGGTGGATAATGGCATTTGACAGTGCCATACCAAACACTTTTTAAATCAGAAAATGGACAGTGCGCCAATTTTTTTTCACACTTGCAGTGTAATGATCATTATACTTTTTCGAATACAGGCAGGGATTTTTCCACAAGCCAGACACTGACACGATTAATAATAATATCATTGTCACTAGTATAGCGGAAATCTTTGGTATTTGTAAAAAAAAAAAAAATAACATCTCATAAAGTAGCCCTTCCATTGATCATAAAATTGTTTTAAAGAGCTACTTATAATAATAATAATAGTTTCGGTCCAAACTCTTGCCATGCATGTTCTAAATTTTGAACTTACCATGTGGGATCATGTTCTAAACTTTGTATTTACTCCCAACAAACATGGCACTCTCCCCATTTTGTAACTTTACGATTCGATTGCTGAAATTACGTCCACCAAATAATTCCAAATTTCTAGTAGCCTAACTTTATAACGGTAATTTATTACTAGTAGCCTACCTTGTAAAGGTAATTCTCTGAATTCATTCTTAATGTAGAATTTCTATTCATAATATTGAAACTAGTTTGTCCTAGTACTTCTTTTTAGAAAAACAAAATCAATCAAAGAACCAAACGTGAAGGACATACACAGAATTAAATTTATGAACATGACAAGGAATTCGAATGATATATACATGTAAATACAGTATTATATTAAAAACACGTTACTTCTGGGGACTCTAGACCCTCTTACATACATGACCTCTACGCTACGAAATCAGTAGACATTCCAATTCCCTCTCGTGATTTACCTTCACGATTTCCCTTCTGTTATTGATGCTCAGTTTCTGACAAGAGAGACCATCTGCTTTTAGAAGTCAGGAGAAGTCATTATTTTAGTAAGAATGTGGCGTAACAACGCTATATATAAAAGGATGTCTCCTTGACTTCATTCCGGAATTTGTTTTATTAAGATTTTTTTCTCTTCTTTTCTATGAAAACACGAAAAAAATTATGAATGAGCATATGTTGCTTGTAATTCTATATGTTTCAAAACGTCCTCTATGATTATTTTGAATAACGGTTTGCATGTTGCGCTCATCGTGCTTTGTCTTTTTTAAATTTATTTCAGACAGGTAAATGACGAGGGTTATTTTGTGTAGACTTGGATGTCGCTTATATCATTATCAGTGTACTCTTGCTACAAAATCTTCAACAGGCGCTATTTTGAAAAAAAAGAAGCAGGTAAGGTCTTGTTTTTGTACAAAAGGTTGAATAGAAAGTTAGAAGAAAGAACTGAGATGCGTGCACATCTATAACTGAGAGGAAATGTTACACTTGTAATGTCGTGATTTTCTTTAACAAAATCTCAATGATTCCATGTTAAAAACAAAACTTCCTTTGATAAACACAATGAATTATCAACATTTGAAGAAGTACAAACAATTTATCAATTGATATTTACAGAGGTAGACATTGAAGAGAATTGGAGGGGGATTGGTATACTTCAACTTCGTGTCGTACTTCTGTTCGAAAACCACAATGTCTGTTTCTTAATGGTGGTCTCCACTTCATTCCAGGAACAGGCGAGAACACACGTCTGCTTGGAATCGCAGTTATAGCATACTTTCTGTTAATCACTGGTAATGCATTTTCTGTGTAAAAAAAATATTGCCAAATACATGAAAAAAGAAACAAATTTTGGACTCACCCTTATCTGATTAAATACATTGAGAGAGAGAGAGAGAGAGTAACTTAATTGTCTTATCCGACTTGCACTGAGAGACAAAATTTGAGTCCAAACGGGATGTCGGATTGCAATGTAAAGAACACGGAAAACGATAGGGTCGGAATTCATTGTGAAACGGATTGCACAGGTGCTGGCGCGGATTCTCTCTCACTCTCATTAATATTGAAATACTTTTACTATATCAGGAAAAAAATATTTAATGCGTCAAATAAACAAAAACATAAAGTGAATTCATTACTTTGTTACGAAAATAAACACTATTATTGATATGAATGAAAGAAGATGGGCGAACAAGGCGAGCGAAGTGCCTATAGTGCGACAAACATGAAGGTGAAAAATTAAATCTCAATTATAGCAAAATTTTCTTTGATATTTCATTAAAAAAAATTAAGTTATATTTGATGGTTAATTTGTTGACCCCCAGCCTCCTTAAGTAAGACGTAGCGACATGACATAAATAAACTGAAGCAACATTCTGAAAAAATCAAAGTGGTTTTACTTTGAGGGATGATTTGAAGATCAAAACACCTTCAAATTATAATTTTATTTTGGAGGTGGTGGGTTGACCGAAAATATTGATCGAATTCAGTAAAATATCATTAAATGTTTCTCTCAAATGAACATTGGCACCATCTTTTAGAGGCATAAGTCTCTGTGAATTTGTGAAATATAGGGTTTCCTGCTAATAAAAATATTAAATATCTGTTTCATATCTCAGAGTATCAAAGTGGAATTTAGGTAGCTGTGGGCAACGATCTTAGTTTTATAAATGAAGCTCACTACCATGTATCAGAGCTATTAAAGTTTCTTAACACGTTATTTTTGAGATA